ACTCATTCTACTTTGATTTATATGGGCAAAAACAAAACATTTTTTGGAGGCATTTTTTTTTCCTTTTCTTTATTTGATGGTAAATGTAAAATCGTGAAGTTTTAGGAGGAAGCATTCTTTGGTTTCCTTATTATAGCTATTCATCTTTCTTCGCAGAAAGAAAGAGAGCTGTCTCCATTGGAAGATGTTTCTCTGGAATCCTTCTCTGGTGACTTGTAATCTAAAGCTGTTGAGTTCAAGGACAGTTTTAACCACAGTATTTAATCTTCTGGAGACATTTATTACATAGCTTTTTGTTTTGCCTTGTTTAATATAAACCACTAGAGAGATGTTTCTTGGTTATGTCATTTCGTAAACCAGAGTGTGAAGTAGAAAATCCCAGATAAGAAGAGGCCACTCCTCATTAGGAATTCTATCATAGGATGCACCTGGGTGGTTCAGTCATTTGGGCGTCCCACTTCAGTTCAGGTCATGGTCTGTGGGTACAAGCCCCACGTCAGGCTTTGTGCTGACAGCTCAGAGCCTGGAGCCTGCTTCTGATTCTGTCTCCCTCTCTCTCTGCTCCTCCCCCTCCTTGTGCTCCATCTCTCCCTCTCTCTCTAAAATAAATAAACGTTAAAAAAAATTCTAGCATAGAATCTGCATTCTCTAAGGGAACTAGAGCCTTAAAACAGTGCCAATGAAAACATCAACATTAATAACAATACTGACAATAATGGCTAACTTCCACAGAGGAGGTATGGAGTAGTGGCTATAAAGGATACTTCTAGAATTAGACACACCTGGATTTTTTTTGCAGCTCTGATTCTTCCTAGCTATGCTCCCTCTAGCAAGTTATCTTCTCTAAACCTTGGATTCCTCACCTCTAAAATGGAGATATTAAATCCATAAGATAAGATATTGAATGAACAGCACAGGGGGACTTGTGTGGCTCAGTTGGTTAAGCAACTGACTCTTGATATCAGCTCAGGGCTTATCTCAGGGTTGTGAGTTCAAGCCTCACATTGGGCTCCGTGTTGAGTGAGGAGCCTATTTAAAAAAAAAAAAAAAAAAAAGGATGGGGTGCCTGGGTCTCTCAGTCAGTTAAGCATCCCACTCTTGATATCAGCTCTGGTAGTGATCTTCAAGTTGGGAGAACAAGCCTCACATTGGGCTCCACATTGAATCTCCAGCAGGGTGGAGCCTGCTTGGGATTTTCTCTCTGTCTCTGTCTCTCTCTGTCTCTCTGTCTCTCTCTCTCTCTCTCTCTCTCTCTCTCTCACACACATAAAATAAATAAATAAACATTTTTTTTAAAAAAGCTTTTAGTACAATGTCTGGCACATAATAAATATTCACTAAACGTTAGCTGCTATTGAGTACAATTTATGAAAGCTTATTACATGTCAGGGGCTCTAGGAATGCTATCTCTAATCCTGATAGCAATCTTCAGGATAATTATTGTTTGTCTCCACCGGAAGGTAAGAGTTAAATTGCTTACTCAAGTTCATTTGGCTAGGAAATGGCAAAGCAGAGGTTCCCTTGGATCTGAAAGAAATATATCCAATTTCAAGTGGATACCTTCAAACTAATAAAAAAGCTGCAGTGGAAATCCTCCCTCTATGTCATTGTGTTTCAAGTTGGCATTTATAAAATCTTTAGGTCAAGATCAGGTCAAAGGGAGCCTTCAGTAGAATAACTGATTTGATCAAAATTGATTGACTTCTTCAAGGTCTATCACAGAATTAACAGTGAAATTTAAAATACCAATCAATTAACTGCAGCCCACATATGAACCTTAGCAACCTGAAGTTTTAAAAGTCTCTGCATTCGCCAGGACCCTTTAGGTAAAGATTAATGAAGCTCATTTCACAATATCTTTTCAGCAAGAGCTACATTTTTCTCTTCAGTGTTTAGGAGGCCTAGAATCTTGCTAGCTTCAAGCATAGCTGGATCCAGGCTCTTCCTTGTCACTCCCTTCCCCACACTGGCTCCATTTTCAGCTCTGATCTGGCTTCCTCCTCATCTGCTGAAAAGGCATATGTGTTGACATAAATATCTACCAACAACCTCAATACCGTATCCTCACACTTTAGTAACCCCAACAGACAGAAGGCCTCCTTTTTATCCAATACCTGTACAGCGGTCCTCAACACGAATTCTGTTTGGCCTCCTTGAGCCATAGAATGTGATCAGTTCTATGAAGAAGTGGGTCCTGGTGCACTTGGGTGGCTCAGTCAGTTAAGCTTCTGACATGGGCTCAGGTCACACAGCATCTCCTGGTGATCAGGCTCTCAGGTCAAGAGCCACACATCAGGCTCTCTGCTGTCAGTGCAGAGCTGGCTTCAGATCCCCTCTCTCCGCTCTTTCTCTGCCCCTCCCCCCTCATGTGCACGCACATCTGCTCTCTCTCTCAAAAATAAACATTTGTAAAAAAGAAGTGGGTTCTTCAATAACATTGCATTTGTTTCCTACGGCTGCTGTAATCAGTTATCACAAACTTGGTGGCTTATGACAACACAGCTTTATTCTTTTAGCGTTTTAGAGGCCAGGTGCCCAAAATCAGTCTCACTGGGCTAACGTCACGGAGTTAGTAGGGTCTGGTTCCTTCTGGAGCCTCCAGAGGAGGTTTTTGTTTTGCTTTTTTGTTTTTTTGTTTTTGTTTTTGTTTTTTTGCCTTTTCTGGCTTCTGGAGGCCACCTGCATTCCTTGGCTCAAACCCCTTCTTTAAATCATTCTAACCTCTTGCTTCCATGGTCACATCTACTCCTTCCTCTTCCACAGTCCATTATCTGTCTACCTCCCTCTCCTGAGGACACTTGCAATGATATTTAAGACCCACCTAGATAATCCAGGATAATCTCCCTATTTTAAGATTCTTAATCACGTCTACAAAGTCCCTTTTGCCACAGAAGATAATATTAACAGGTCTTAAGGATTAGGGCGGGGATGTCCAGGAGGCCATTATTCAGCCTACAACAAGCATAAATCCAGGAAGGTATGGCAAACAGTGCAAACAAGTAATCACACTATCAGGCAAAGGAAGACACATTTTATGGAAGAGAGAAACCACAAATTATACAGAGAACAGAGAAACCATTTTCAGCTTCTGGGATCTGATTTGGCTTTGTGACAGATAATTATAATAATGGTGGCAGCAAACATTTATATTGCTCATTATGTGTCAGCCATTGTTCTAAGTGCTTTACTTATATAACTCAATTAATCTTCACAAAAAAGCCATCCTCATTTTATAGAAGAGGAAACCAAGGCACAAAGATTTTAAGTGATTTGCCAAGATCACTGTGAACTAACACAGCCAGGATCTGAACCCAAGGTATCCGATTCCCAGGTGCATACACTTGACCATTTGGGATGGAACTTAAAGAATGGATTGTGAGGAAACATGAAGGGTCTTGTACAGAGAGAACAGAATGAATAAAGCACGAAAGAAAGAAAGAAAGAAAGAAAGAAAGAAAGGGAAGGAAGGAAGGAAGGAAGGAAGGAAGGAAGGAAGGAAGGA